GTTTGTGTTGCAAAATTGGTTCTTTGTGGATTTACTACTCTTACGTTATTGTGTTTGATTAAGAAACACTACACAGTGCTAGCACACTAGACTGAACATTACTTAGAGAAAAAAAATAGGATTATCTTTTTTCAGTTAACAAAAAAATTGATCCAGGCTAGGCAAGTAGAAGTTTTTTTTTCCTTTTTCTTTTTTTACTAAACATGACAATACCCTAAAAAAGATTTTCTTTCTCCAAACAGTAAAAAAAAAATACTTTTAACAACTGTATATTGGTAATCTAGGATCAGCGACAAAATTAGTATCTCATATTGTTATGTTTCCTGTGTGGTTCCAATTATAACATTCAGTGCTATATTATTTCCTTATGTGAGTAACTGTTACCAAATATCACTGGACTTTAAAACATGGATTTCAGTCAACCTTTTATTCTTTCTCAAGCACATACCCGCTTCATTCAGTAATAGCCAAAGATGGTTTCCAACTGTCACATATAAACCTAAATATTCCATAGGGTGTGTCCCATTATTCCCAAAGTTGTAGTTATCTCAGAACCTATCCCCCACTCAACGTTGTACCAAGTACCCTGGCAGTAGCTAGCTAGACACAGCAGCATACAAAACCTCGGCTTACACTAGACTCAATAACCCAGACTACTTTCTACTCCCAAGCAGGCACAGCAAGGTTAAAACACACATGTAACTGCTGGTCTGGCTCATTCATTATCTGCAGGCAAAGTGTTTGGAAAAATCCAGCTTCTAAGTATGGTATTATTTTATTGTTCCTCCTTTTACCCTTTATTGGTTAGTTGTCTCTTCATCTGTGAATAAACCAATATTTAGTGGTTGCTCACTAATCATCATTAATTTTTTTTGCTACCTCTTGATTAGACAGGAGATCCAACCCACATGATTCGTACCTCTTGTCCATCATGGCAAACTAAGCAGGTTACCTTTCCTCCATCCCATTCTTCTTTTTTCTGTAGACAGGAATAGCGCTGTGAACCAAAAGCTGAAATGAGCATGCTCAAGCTAGAGCAAGGTGGCTCTCCTGAGATTCTAGCAAGTAATGTCTTGAAAATTTGAATTTTGTCCAATCACCTTAAGTCAGCCAAATTGCAGTTTAACATGAAAATAATTTCTAAGTCTACTGTATACGTATTGTCTTATGAATGTGTACATTGAAGCTGACAGTTACATATTATTTTGCCAAAATGTGTTAGGCGATGTGTAACTTATGAAGAACTAATAACATTTCCAATAATACATTCAAAACAAACGGATGCTACATTTCCAACTAACCAGAGCATAGAAATAGTCTATGTAGACAAAGCTTTTCTTTCAAAATAATGACCCATAATTGCTTATTTAAAGATGTAACCTGCAAGGTTAACAGCGTACTTACAAATTCTTAGTGCAAGAGATATTAGAATGTAGAACAAGCTTACTTAATACTTAATATGAGAGACGTCGTCCCAGATTATTGATTGCCTTTGATTAATAATAGCTTAATCACTGGGCACTGCTTATAATATATACAAGAGGGGCAAAGACATGCCTTTTGATAAATTATTATTCCTGGTCTTTGTGTTTTTCTTTTCCAATAGTATTAGCATATAAAACAGCTTTATCTTCAAAATAGCATTGTTTAAACACAGATAATCCCTTCAACATTTCATATAACAAACACTATATATGGAAGTGAATTACATAGAACATACAATGGTATAGTATTTGTTCTAATTTTACAGAAAACACCATGGGTTTTGTTTTTTGCACATTTTATGTGCTTACATTTTGCACTTACTACGTGTGCTCTTTTTTGCACTATATGTATATGGTTTGTGTGCTCTGTTTTGCACTTTATTCATGTGACCTTGGCCCTACATTAAGAGCTTTTCTGTCACATGATTAAGAAATAATGTCAAGGATTGGGTATTTATTTGTACTAGGGTATTAACTGAATGGCAGTTAGAACACTTAATGTTTACTTAGATTGGGTTTATGGATTGTGTGTTGGATTTTTATATGGTGGCACTACTGTAAAATGTTGATGTATTTTTAGGCATGGGATTGGTTGCAAGGTAGAAAGATTGTATTCTGTAAGTATTAGGTCATTTGTGGTATTAAGTATAAACTGGAAAGTTTACACGGCAAGTACATTTTTACATAGTATGTAATAAATCATTGTTGCATGTCTGTTCAGAGGCCAACTGTGTTTTATTGCCAACAAAGTTGAATCTGAATCTCTAATCAAACTATCTAAACTTGGTTCCTGTGAGGATGTGATGAGTTCAAATATTGAATAAGATGTACACACACTGTCTTGCCACTATCGGCACAGCAATTTGAAGTTCTACAACAAAACATATAGCTGATATTCAACAGAATGCAATGACACTATTTCCTGTTTGAAATACAATGGATAAATTCTGGCAAACATCATAGAAGACGAGGTTCCACTAGACTTTTTAATGACAGTGACTCTTCTTGCATGTAAGATGATGTTGATGAATGATTTGAATAACAATTTTAAACAATCTTGTTAGTCAAATCTGCCTTCTCTGTCTTGATCTGCCTTCTCATTGCCTCTCTTTCCTTCATACTATTAAATCGTCTTCCTGTGCAGTGTTGATTTAATTTTATGAAGGAAAGAGAGGCAGAGAGAAGGCAGATCAAGACAGAACAGCAATAGAATATCAAAGAAAAAAATAGATAAACAAGTGTGGAGAAAAGATTAAGTGACGATAAGATGCATTTTTTTTTTCACTTTCAGATTAGGTTTCTTTGAGTGGAAAATAACTAGAATGCAAAGTGCTACATAAATTTATTGAAGAACATATAATTGATGCAAACATTTCAGGTCCCAGACCCCTTATCAATGACTAATACCACAGAATATCAGAAACTCAATGCGTGCATTAGGTAATTATTTTTTCTGAAACAGCATAGTTTTACTTTGTCAGCGATAAAGGACACATGTGTGCCAAAACTCTTAAAACCCCTGAGGTAGTGTTTTTTTTTTTTGGATGGAGTGTCTTTTTTTGAACAATGCTTGGTAAAATGAACATAAAATCACGTTAGTTTGCCTTAAAGGGATATTATTATAAGTGCCAGGAACTCAAAGCTGTATTCCTGGAACTATAGCTTCCTCTGCCTCCCCTACCCTTGCACATCCACATGAAGAAAGGGTTAAAAACCCTTTGTTTACTTATCTGATCCGAGTGCGATGTCCCTTGGTGCTGGGTCGCAGCTCCGCCTCCTCCGACGTTACTGACGAGGGGGCGCTAATGACATTTTCTTAGCTGATGATTCTAAATTACAGAATAATAAAAAAAAAAATAATGATTACAAGTATAAACTATTGTTATCTTCTTTAAACATTTAGATATCAGATTAAACGTGATTATTTTATTGTCCGTATCATCTAAACTCCTTTATAGTTTCTTGATAATTTGTATATTCTATCAGAAATTGTTCTTGGGGAATATACAGCTGATTTGTAATAAGACAACTAGAACTGTAAAAGAGAAATAAGTTTTTAAGACTAAACTATTATAAATGATGTGTTTTTCTATTATTGCCCTTAAATCCAATAGTGTTAAAAGGAAATGTTTCTAAGTTATTCATTCCTGATAGTTTCAGTAGTGAGTTCTCTGAGGTTTGTGACTTAGTTTTCCACATTTCTTTAGCCGTATTTGATTATACATGTAGTGTTCATAACAGATTGTACTTTGAATAAGACATTATACAATTCACCACAGTGTGCGAAAAGGTATTCCATGGGTTTAATACTGAACTATGAGTATGTAAAGTTGTAATCAAAATTATTCAAGCCCCATTTCAAACTTTACAGACTTTCAGCTGTTTGCAATGAACAAATCAAGCAAACGCAATTGAAATAGCTCACTACGACATATGCTTTAATGGTTTCCCCAAATTCAACTGAAAATGCAACTTAGAATGACTTCTCCTGAATAGAATCCCTCACAATAGCACAAATATAGAAAACAGGTGTTGTCTCAAGCATACCTGATGCAACTTATCAAGGTCTTCATTAGTTTCACCAAGTGTGCTTGAACTGGATCACTTGAAACACCAGAACTTTTGTTTGTTTAGTGTCACGTTTGACTGCATGTTAGAAATAAGACAAAATAATAATCCATAAAGTTAAGAGAAGAGATCATTGCCCTTCATAAACAAGGAACAGGATACAAAAAGATAGCAAAGGCATTGAATGTTCCTAGAGACACCATTGGAATCATAGTTCGCAAGTTCAAAGTTGAAGGAACAGTTGTTACACTACCTGAGGTCTAAAAAAGAAGCGATAAATGGCTGAAACCAGATTTCTGAGAAGGCAGGTTGTGAAAACCCTTGAGTGACCATAAAAAATCTGCTGCAAGACTTCGTGGCAACAGGCATTGAGGTTTCAGTGAGCCCAGTAAATCACATACAAACCATGCTAGAACGCCAAGACGTATACCACTACTGACCCAAAAGCACAAGAAAAGTCAGCTCCAATATGCTCAAAATCATATAAATAAGCCACAGATGTTTTGGGATTTTTTTCTGTGGAGTGATGAAAAAAAATGGAACTTTTCAGCCCAATGGATAAGCGGTATGTCTGGAGGAATAAGAATGAAGCATACACTGAAAAGAACACTCTGCCTACAGTTAAGCATGATGGTGGCTCGGTGATGCTCTGGGACTGCTTTGCATCCTGTGGCACTGGAAACCTGCAGCGTGTAGAAGGCAAGATGAATTCATTGAAGTATTAGTATCCCAGGAGAAAACTTGATGACATCTGTGAGGAAGCTGAAGCTTGGGTGTCATTGGACCTTCCAACAAGACAATTATACCAAGCATACCTTAGATTTTACCAAGGTTTGGCTGTAGCAGAAGTCCTGGAAAAATTCTGCAGTGGTCACCACAGTCACCTGACTTGAACTCCATAGAAAATCTCTTATAATATATAAGGAAAGCAGTTGCAATACACAAATCCAAGAATATTACTGAACTGGAGGCCATTGCTCACGAGCAATGGGCTAAGATTCCTCAGGAACGCTGCCATCAGCTGGTGTCTGGCTATGCCTCTCATTTGCATCAGGTCATAATAGCAAAAGGGTGCTCTACTAAGTACTAAAAATGCTTTCCATGGAGGCGGAGCCTGACCACGAACCGGAGCGGATGCAACTCTGCATCGCTCCAAACTAAAAACTGCTTCAAAGCCTAATTTTTGAGACTTCAAACCCTTGAATAACCTACTCCTGACCGGGGCACTAGCTTAGCACAACCAAACTGCCCCCATGTCGTTTGTATAACCGGCATGGGTGAATTGGCGAAAATGCAGACCTGAGGCCTACCGACTCACAGCAGCCCTAGATTGGTCGGCACTACTGAGCGGATTTGAGCCACTAGAGGATCCGGAGGTGGAAGTCTTCCCCACAGCTCGCATACCTGCCCCTGCATTGATGGGCCAACGGTCCCAAAGCCACCACTGGAATCGTCATCATGGTCCAGGGACATAGAAGCCATGTTGCAATGACAACTGCCTCCCAAAATGGTGGGAGCGGCGGACCGCAAAGCTACCAAGCTACTAGCAGAATCCATACCACCTGACTTACCTCCAGTGTGGGCACAAACAACCACAGGGAACCCCGACGGGTGGGCCCCAGTTACTCAACGGGACTTTCCCAATCTAGTAACAGAAATCAAGATCTTCCTGGCAACCAATGTGGTGGCCATTAAGGCGGATGTGCAAGCAGTCACTGACAGGGTGAAGTCCACAGAAGACGACATCAGGCATTAAACAGGGACTGTTATCCCTACAGGACTCTGTATTGGCCTTACAACCCCAGCAACAAGCACTCTCTTTCTACTACATAGCCCTAGATGACAGGACACAATGTAACCACCTTAAGCTCAGGGGGATACCTGACACCCGTCACACTTCACTATATGAGGCGACTGGTGGCCTCCTTACTGTCAATGACACATGCCAAAATATTTAACATAGATTGAATATACCGCCTTCCATCTTCGGTCAGAGCAGCCCTAAACATGGTTTGAGATGTGATTGTACACTGTGCCACTTCCCAAGACAAAAGAATCCTGATGATGGCACTCAGCTGCAAGATGCTACTAATATTCGAAGGAGCAGGCCTCTCACTCTATCAAGACCTAACCAGATCCATGCTACAATGGTGCAGATCGCTAAACCCAGCATCCTAAGAGAAGTGGGAATAGAATACCACTCGAGATCCCCCAGATTCCTGGTGGTCACACATAAAGGGACTGTACATAAAATTTACACTCTGGCTGAGTCACCAACCTTCTGTAAGGCCCTGAGCCTCCCCGTTCCTAAACAGGATACCAACCAACGTTCCACACCAGATACCTGACTGATTTATGCAGCAGCAGCCAGAACATAAGCTGTTTAGCTAAAAATGTGATTTACCTTACTGTCACACTGAGAGCTAGGGGTTAAGTCCTGCTGTAAGCTGTGGTCATCTAAACAGCTAAGAGCTGGACACTGAATATGCATCAAAAGATGCACCTTCTGGTATGTATTTGGTTTAGTTTGCTCAGTCTTGCTTAGTACAAATCTTTGTGATGAAAGAGTCTCTTTAAATATAAAAATGTTCAAACTATTTTCAACAGTCTTTTTTTATATTGCCAAGTGTCAAGTTTGAGATGTTTTTGGCAAGTATGAATCATGCTGTTTAGTTTATGAACATAATACAAAACTCAAACTAAACGTACTAATGATCGCTGAAGATAAACGCATCTTTTGTGGGCTATTATAGATTGCTATATTTAGTAGAGAAAGACAATAAACAGAAAGGGAAGCTTTCAAAGAACAAGCATCCCTTCCAAAATGAAATATTGATCAAATGAATATCTAAATAAACCCATTGACAAACAGGAAATTATAAAGATTTTAAAATCGATAAAATATTAAACCACCAAATCAGTACCATATGGTCAATCTATTGAGAATTATAAAACACCCAATGTTCATATCATAAATTAACTTCCCAGCCCTTCTGAACAAATATTGTGTTGTAGAACAGAATTAGAAAGGTTTAATTGAGCAGAGATCTCAAACTTACTTGCCTTTCTCTAAAACTACTGTACACTCAGCCTTGCTAAACAATGACATTTCAGGAAATAAAATATAGAACTTTTAAATGAATTTTTCTTTTATTTAATTTTATATGCTGTTCTGCATACTATATTACCCAAAATGGGTTCTGGCCACTATTAGGGTAAATAATAAAATGAAACCCTAGCTACAATATTTTCCACTACTGCTAGATTTAAAGAAAGTTAATATTGTAATCTAAAATGATACTGTTAAAATATAGAAGAAGGGGGGCATGGTTGCATTAGCAAGGAAAGTAGTCAGTCACGTGTTTCATGAGTTCTATAATAGACCGTCAATTTCACACTCTCTCCCCAGTGGTAGTACTGTACTTTTACCTCAAAAGTACAGTACTTTTGAGTTAAAAAGATTAAGAAGCCCAAAGTTCTCCAGCACAAATGATCTTGGAATATTGCCGATCTTATGTTAAAAAAGCCCGGACCTAAAATGGCAGTGCAGCTTCTTCTTACAAGGAGTTATGTTGGACACTCCATATGTACTCCCCACTATGTGAGGGGTCAATACTAACCTGCCGGATGCAGACCTGGACATTCCAGCTACAAAAGGTGACATACTGGACTTGATTGAAAATAGCCACACCTTTTTTATGTGGACCTAGTGTTTACAACCACCACTGCTCAAATAAAGCTGGCAGGGGAAGATGTTTTCTCCCTTGCCCAGTAGCCATGGCACAGCTATTGGTTGTGTATTGGGGAATATGGTCATTCCCCCTATCATCCATCCCAAAATTTTCTGTTGGATTAATATTACAATAAACTAGCTGTATTAATTATTGTTTATTGTGTCAACTAACAGAACTTTATTCAGCAAAAATAAGTGTTGCGAAATGTGTTGGTGCTTGGATGTACTACTGTAACATTATTGTGCTTGATGTTAAGAAGCATTGCATAATGCTCACATTCTTACATAGCACACTGCACTGAACACACTCAGAAAAAAAAGATTTTCAAACAGTTAACAAAAAAAACTATGCTTGTTCAAACAGTTAACAAAATAACTGTACTTGTGACAGTAGTGGCTAGCTGGATACAGCAGTAAACTAATCCTAATTTCACTCTACAATCAATGACCCAGACTAGGAAAGTGTACATTTTTTTTTACTGTATATCTCATAAGAAAATATTCTTTCCTCCAAACAGTTAACTAAAGTAAATGGGTTTAGCAACTGTATATTGATAACCTAATCTCAGACTAGGATCACAGACAAAATGCCTGCCAATCTGCTATTACATTACTAAGAGTTGTTTTAGGTGCCTTTGTCAGTAGTTGCTAGCTATATACAGCAGAAAGTTAAACCTAGTCTCACATTAGAACTAATGACCTAGGCTAGGTAAAAGGGTTTAGTTTTCCTTTCTTTTCTTTTCTTTTCTTACTTAACACTACTCTCCCCAAAACTTTGATTTTCGAAGTAAAACTAAATTTAGCTAAATTGCATTTTGACCCACAATTAATATTTAAGTCTAGTTTCAAATGAATTGCAATTTGTCAACATTTTGGGTGATCGATCAAAATAAATAACTCTAAAATGCTACACAGAGAAATCACAATACAAATGAAACAGGCAATGAACAAACTGTTTTGTTTTTTTCATGATTCAGAATTCCATATGTGGTGCCAAAGCTCACCACCTCCCCCCAAAAAAACAACAAAAAAACATGATTGATGGTTAAGAGACAGGATTAAAGTGTTGATTTTATCCACATACGAAGTGAAATGTAAACATAAAACATACTAGTTCGGATCAAGGAGAATTCACTGTTTATTTCAAGTATTAAAACAATTACAGCACAATAGTGCAAAGTCAACCAATATACCTATAGAACTGATATTTGTCCTTCTGTGCTCATTTTTCTTAACCAGTTACAAGCATAGCAAGATGCGGCATTCTCTAGAGTAGTGGTTTCTAAACTTTTTAGGTTCAAGGTGCCCTTAATAATTCAATATTTTTCCAAGGCAAAACAAACTTCTAGGTTGTATATATGTACAGCGCTGCAGCATATACTGGGCCGCTGTTCAGCAGAAATGTTTCCCGGTCAGGAGCAGATCCAGAACCTAATCTTGGGAGGGGCCCTGGTAGTTTATTTAAAGGAACAATTTAGGCACAATAACTCTACAGCACTCTGTAGTGGTTATGGTGCCAATGTATGTGTATGAGTAAGGGGTGCAGTGTGTGTGTGTTGGGGAAATGTATTTGGGGTGCAGTGTGTGTGAGGGGTGCAGTGTGTGTGTTTTGGGGGGCAGTGTGTGTGAGGGGTACAGTGTGTGTCTGTGGGGGACACAATGTGTTAGGGATACAGTGTGTGTGTATGGGGGGGTGTTATTGTGAGTCTGTGGGGGGAGGCGGGCATTAATAAATATATACTTTTTTAATATCCCCCTCCCTTTTTATCTTTGCCTTGGAGAGGGGACAGTAATAAACCCTGATGGAACGGTGGAGAAGTCCTGGTGGTCCCAGTTGTCCCAGTGGGGAGAATGAACTCTAGCCTGCAGCTCCTGATGCAAGAGTTCACTCTTGTGAGATTCGGAACATTGCCATGGTAACCGCAGCACTGCTTCAAGCTCATGAGTGGAGAACTTGTCGGAGCTTTAGTTAGAGGTCCCTAGGTCCTCTCTCCCTCGCTCTCTCCCCTGCTGGCAGCAGCATTTCAGTGCTACTGGGCCAGTGAGGAAGATCTCTGATCTCCCCTCCAGTTCTGCAGAGCCAGCAGGGGAGAGTAACACATAGTTCTCGGTTCGCGACACACAGTTTGGGAACCGCTGCTCTAGAGTCTTCAATAAATCACCATTTATAATCCACAATATTTTGAAGGAAAGAATGGTAAATTAGATAAATAATAATTTAACTGATTTAATATTCTTACAAGCTATGCAAAAAATGTACATTTCAATCTTACTTAATACTTTATTGCCTAATAATAGTTCATGCAATCAAAACAATTTGTTCTTTAACCCTCTTTTGCACTAGATGTGTATAGCTAGCATATAAACATATAGCAGCAATTTTGTGTATATATTGCTTTGCAGACAAACTTAACCTTAATCCCTTAAGGACACATGACGGAAATATTCCGTCATTATTCCCTTTTATTCCAGAAGTTGTGTCCTTAAGGGGTTAAGGACCTCTTTACTGTCTATGCC